GTGATGTAATATCGGTTCTTACCTTAACTCAACGCATTTCTGTTGCAAGAAATATAGCAAAGAATTGATTGAGCATGTTAGTAAGTAAGTAAGTAAGTAAGTAAGTAAGTAAGTTAGTTAGTTAGTTAGTTAGTTAGTTAGTTAGTTAGTTAGTTAGTTAGTTAGTTAGTTAGTTAGTTAGTTAGTTAGTTAGTTAGTTAGTTAGTTAGTTAGTTAGTTAGTTAGTTAGTTAGTTAGTTAGTTAGTTAGTTAGTTTTTTTCTCTTGAGCCTGGTACGGCACACAGGGCAGTGGTCATAGCTCTCCATGTCTGGCGGTTTGTTGCCACCTGCTTTAGGTCTTGGATGTTTGCTAGGCCCATGGTTGAGCCTTTCCTGATGATGGTTCTACGTATAGTCTCTTGGTCTTCTCCGTTTTCTTTTCAACATGTGCACACACGTAAATATGAGTGCGGGACAAAACTTGCAATAAACATAGTGCTATATGCGAATACCCACAACATTGTTAGGGAATACTAATTATAATGCTTACCGTGCTTGTACAAGATGGAAATATGGCAGATTACCTTGAAAGACAGAACAAATCAGTTGCTAGCGCAAACGATAGTGCAACTGACGGATATATATTCCACAAACCGGTAGATCAACCACAGAAACAGGATGACAAGCTGCAGGCAGTTAAAGGTACGTTCCTTTGTCAAATGTCACTTGTCCACTCTTCCTTTCTCTGTTTTCTCTAAGTGGACTATAGGCTCTGAAACAATCTGTGACAAACTGTTTTATCTGTTTCTATCTTCTGCAAGTGATTACTTGTCTTTCCTGTAGTATTCTTCTTCTTCTTCTTCTTCTTCTTCTTCTTCTTCTTCTTCTTGTTCTTGTTCTTGTTCTTCTTCTTCTTCTTCTTCTTCTTCTTCTTCTTCTTCTTCTTCTTCTTCTTCTTCTTCTTCTTCTTCTTCTTCTTCTTCTTCTTCTTCTTTTTCTTTATCATAATTTTCTTCTTCTTTTTCTTTTTCTTCTTCTTTTTCTTCTTCTTCTTCTTCTTCTTCTTCTTCTTCTTCTTCTTCTTCTTCTTCTTCTTCTTCTTCTTCTTCTTCTTCTTCTTCTTCTTCTTCTTCTTCTTCTTCTTCTTCTTCTTCTTCTTCTTCTTCTTCTTCTTCGTCTTCGTCTTCTTGTTCTTGTTCTTGTTCTTGTTCTTCTTCTTTTTCTTTATCATAATTTTCTTCTTCTTTTTCTTTTTCTTCTTCTTTTTCTTCTTCTTCTTCTTCTTCTTCTTCTTCTTCTTCTTCTTCTTCTTCTTCTTCTTCTTCTTCTTCTTCTTCTTCTTCTTCTTCTTCTTCTTCTTCTTCTTCTTCTTCTTCTTCTTCTTCTTCTTCGTCTTCGTCTTCTTGTTCTTGTTCTTGTTCTTGTTCTTGTTCTTCTTCGTCTTCTTCTTCTTCTTCTTCTTCTTCTTCTTCTTCTTCTTCTTCTTCTTCTTCTTCTTCTTCTTCTTCTTCTTCTTCTTCTTCTTCTTCTTCTTCTTCTTCTTCTTCTTCATTTTCTTCTTCTTCTTCTTCTTCTTCTTCTTCTTCTTCTTCTTCTTTGTCGTCGTCGTCTTATTACTATTATTATTATTATTATTGTTTACCCGCTGCAAACTCAGGCGGTCGCGTTCCAGGACTTTAATGTTTGTGTGTTCATCCGTTTTACGTATCTGCTTATTTGTATACAGAATATTGTTTTCTCGCCACTCAGGGAGCCGATTTCGGAAAAAAAAAATCCATAATTAGTTGTTTTTTTTTCGACCAGCTTGACAGGCAGACGAGTCTACTTCCTCCTCCCCCCCCCCCCCCCCCCCAAAAAAAAAAAAATAAGCTCTATAGCCGACATTGCTCGTCTCTGCTTGCCTGTGTTTGTTCCCGGACTGCATTTGGGGAAAGTGGGTGAAGGCGGTGGAAATGGCCCACTGCCCCATAAACAGTCATGTCGTAAAAGGCGACTAAGAAGGGATTTGCCGAAATCGGATGAGATAGGACGAAAAGCATAGATATCAGCCTAACTGTAAACCGCAACATGACGTACCAACAGCTTTTTGTGAGCGAACTCAGCAGTTGAAGAAGTTAGTCTTTGTCTAGAGAATTCTCCATGTGTTTATCGATCTTAAGTATTTATTTCAGTACCTAGCAACGCCCCTTGTTCTTATTAGATTCAACTGAAACGATATGTATGTTCAACCTCATGTGTCCCAACCATTTGTTTCACCCACCCACTTGTTCCTATTTCATAGTGAACCCAGGAGGGGGGGGGGGCGCATAATGCTAATATTCAAACTCCTTAAACATTGATCACTTAAAACACAATTTCCTTAGTATAAAGTTAGTTAAAATAGCACTTCCTGGGTTTTGAAAGAGAATATATATTTTTTCCCTATCCTGTGGATTCCAGTGAAATAGCTTTCTATTCATACTTTTAAAAGCTTCTCTTATGTGAAAGACGTTCAAGATTGGGGATTCAGAACTTCAATGTTGACAGGCACCAAAGAATACTGAACATGTGCTGCACGCTCTCTACATGCAGTAGAGAGATCCTAAGTTTACCCAATTGGCATTCCAGTGGAAGCTAAGCTGTATGATGGTACAAAGAGAAACATGTGTCGCACCACAGACTTCACAGAGGCCTGGGGCCTTGTCATTTGAAAACCACCGAGAACTAAAAGAAGAAGAAGATAACGTTTTCTCAGTGTGTGGTATACCTTGTTGTCAGAAACCGTTTTATTTGATGGTGATTCTTCCTTCCATGGCATTCTTGTAACATGTCGGCAGCGGTTCCTAAGAAAGTAGGTATCTGCTGTACTTTCTTATTGTGTAGTTTGGTTTTGTTCCCGACTATGTCAGACACATCTGGTGGAACCCTTTCAACTGCATGACCTAGTTGTATTGGAGCTCCTGACGTTTACTAAGTAACCTGTTGTCCGTTCGTTTTGGGTAAATGTCTGTAATTACTGAGCATGTTTATTTTTTTTATTTTTTTTTGGGCCATATCTACAGCTGACGATGATGGCAGTATTGGAATCTGTGGAGCAGTCTTGTGGTTTTTGTCCTTGATTCTTGTCGTTGTTACTTTCCCATTGTCCATGCTGTTCTGTCTGAAGGTGAGACTTCCACATTATTTGTTGCTGTTGTTAGCCTTAGTAATTCTATCCCCAAAGCGTCTGCAAACGAGTTAAATTAAAAATTTCGAGATCGTGTATCTTTTACGTGGCAATTTATGACTCTTATCGCTCAGTCATTATAAAAAATCGAAGCTTTTGAACTGAAATGCTACCCAAAAAAAAATTCTTCGAATACCATAGACCAAGGAGAAGAAAAAACCCGACATCCTTCGTGATCTGAGCATCGAGGAGAATTGGCTCATAAACAGCATCTTATCCTGAAATTGTGTGTATTTTGGCCATGGTCATGGAGTGAACGGTGATGGAGGGTACATCTTCCAGAAAACGAGGCACGAGCTGAATTCTGCAAAAGTGGAAATTAGCTATTGAAGATGTATTGGCTATGAAAGCACAAAGGGCTGGAGAATCAGCTGGAGAAGCTGAGACTTTTAGGCATGTCCCGACTAGAGCGACTTTGTGTAAAAGACCTGCTGAATGAGGTGATGATGGTATCCATATTTCTTGTTGTAACTTAGGTTGTATATTTATTATTGATGTCGTCACAGAGCCAATACGCTGAACATTGTAGGTAGACAACAAATCAAATGGGGTGGCCATGTATTAAGATTAGCATCAGACAGGGCACCACAGAGAGCAATGTTAAACAGATACAGCGCTACGAGAACAAGAGGTCGACCACACATAAAATGGACCGCAGAAATATCAGAGACACGGAGAAGTACTTTATACAAAGCGAACTGAAGGGTTCGTTTCCGAGATCTGTTTCTGACCTGACGTCGTGAGGCATTCCAGGAGTAGAGAGAAGAAGAAGCAGATGAAGAAGCCGCCTTTTTCTATCTTTCCAAGACAGTAGCATTTAATATACCTTACTACGGGCGGGCATGCTAACCAGAGACCCTGGCGATGTCGAGTGTGAGAGCAAAGCAAGACCTGCTGTCGTTAAGAAACATCTTTCACAAGAGAATGGAATTTCAGGACCGTTGTTGACATCATATGTATTTAGTTTTCTTCTTTTCAAATGCTCAGCTCGAAACATATTTTCTGCAATAAAGTTTTCCTTTATTCACATGCTTTTCCTGACCCCCCCCCCCCTCTTTCCCCTTTTCTTCCCCGCCGACACGGTTCATGACATAGTGTTCCAACGAATCTACCTCAATACTTGTATCATTCATTTCCTTCGAAGTCGGACTGCATCTGCCCGAGCGGCAAGAAACAACCAGGCCCTGGCACAAAGCCAAAGTCCAAATGGACGAACAGCCATGACTTTCTACCAGAGTTTACAGCCGGTGAACACAGAAAAAGAACCAGTATCATTCATGTGTGTTTTTATTGATGTCGTTATTGTTGTGGTATCCATAATTTCTGTGGAAACATAAGAGTTGGAAAAACTGGATCATTTCACTATCACGGACGCACATATATTGATATTTTTTCAAACCTAAATGTTGCTGAAAATTACTGTGGATCTAGTTGAAGACAACTGCTGACCTCTGACTAAATTTGAGCATTTAAAATTAAATTAATTAATTCATTAATTTATTAATAAAAAGGTACTTAAACAACTGTGGTTTCAAATTTAAATAATATGGCCACATGATAGGTCACAAAGGGATTCACTGTCACAGCTCTGTGGCTAGACATTTGCCTACCGCCCAAATGTCTAGAGTTCGAATCCGCAACGAGGCGGCAGATTGTCATAATTAGGATCTTGTTCTTTTCTTTCTAGAAACAAAGGTGTTAGTACTCACCACGTAGTGTCCGAACAAATGTGGCGGTACTGCGCACAGTTGTATATATCACTGTTTGTCGGCGTCTGTCGACTTGCGATAAACTTGCAACTGATTCACCCTACAGGTTGTCCAGGAGTATGAGCGAGCAGTTATATTCCGTCTTGGTCGACTGATCTCAGGTGGGACAAAAGGTCCAGGTGGGTCATTTACTAAGCTAAAGAGATACTATTGCATTCCTTTTTGTCCTTCTGTATGATCTATATATGAGTCGGCGCTTGTAGCTAAGGCATTGCGAACACGCTTTGTAATGCCGGGGTGCCAGGGTTCGATCCCAGCTGCGGGCCTTGCGTTAGTTTCGTCAGTGGTATCCAGAGCGACCTTCCAGAAAGCAGTGGCAAACTACTGGACGTAACACTTGCCTCGAAAAACCGCAACAGCCAAAAAAAAAATGCTAGAGCTGGTTCTGCAACGTCATGTAAAGGATACGCAGCTGACTTATATATATATATGCCCGGCTCTCTAGCGAAGTTGGTTAAACCGGACTTTCGCGGCGGCCGGGTGACGAACTCCTTGTGGTCCGGGTTCACTCCCGGGGGTAGGCAGAAAAGCCACATTTCTCCCAGATTAACGGTACCTATAATGGAATCAAGGCCGAATGGTTGCGATATCCATAGTACCGAGCCAAAGGGTTTACAAATCATGGTTTCTGGATACGTAAAAAAAAAAAAAAAAAATATATATATATATATATATATATATATATATATATATATATGTGTGTGTGTGTGTGTGTGTGTGTGTGTGTGTGTGTGTGTGTGTGCGCGCGCGCGCGCGTTCGTTTATCTGTCAGTCTGGTAATGAAGGTTGGTTGGCTTCAGTAAACTTCGCCAAATTAGATTCATGTTCGTAATTTTCTTGGTGTGTCTTTCTAATAGTATCTGCTGTTAGACATTGCTCCCTTAAATGTTGTGTCTTTTCCCTCAATATATTTTTCAATTCTAAGAGTATCTAGCTGGTCGACAGTCTTAAGTCTACTACTACAAAAGCTAAATTATGCTTTGCAATTTAACTATCTCTGTGGCTTGATGGAGATTGTCGTAACCGTTCCATTGTGTTTATTGTACATGTATCTGCGTAACAAGCTAATGACACATACCCACATGTTTTGATATGTCGTTAAACATTCAAGTTGTGTCTCTTGAAATTGCCGATTTCGAAAGCATGTACGTTATGATATAGAAAACCTACTGATTTCTAAAACTTTCTCTATTGTGACAGGTTTGTTCTTCATCTTACCCTGCATCGATGTGTACATTAAAGTGGATTTAAGGACAATCACGTTTGATGTCCCGCCCCAAGAGGTGAGATACGTAAAACGTCAGCATTTGAGTAGGCACATATTTATGCGTGAATAAAAAAGACACGAACAACAGATTGTGCAGTTTATTGGTTGACATATTCTGTAAGTCAATGAATAAATTTAAATGCCTTGTAATTGCAAGTACTTCGTAAGTTTCGTCCTTCTTAGGACGTTATTTTTTGTTATTTGAAGCCCCACTCTGGCTTTTGCCAGGGGCCGCAATATAGGCAGGTCATCATTATGGCCAAATGTCTGAACGCGGTTTCTGGGACCTCTCCACGGTGATCCTCATCCGCATGGTGGCACTTTGTGTCATCGGGTGTTTATCGCTTGTGTGATGTCCTGGTGGGGTAAAAAATCCAATCCAATCCTTGTAATTTTCTAGGGGTATGGGGACGGGAAAGGGGGAGCTGTGACTCAAGGGTGTTGATGAGAGTCCATTTAACAATTGCTAATGAGTCATGTAGTTTTAACCAAAGATTTGGAACACGGTGAAATTTATATGTATACTGTTGTGAATTTTGGCGTAACGGGTCGACTTGGTGTAGAAGTTGACCTCAAGATGTGTAGCTCAAAATTATGAAAAATACTTATACTTACCTAACGCATATTATTCCCGCCACACAGGTCAACCCCTAGATTTTGACAGATGTTTTTAAGGGTTTCCAAACTCGACCTACAACGTAATGTGTAATGAATCTTCAGGTATTGACCAAAGACTCTGTGACAGTCCTAGTAGATGCCGTGGTGTACTACCGTGTCAGCGATGCCGCCTTGTCTATCACCAGAGTCGAGGACTGGAATAAATCTACCCGACTTCTGGCAGCCACCACCCTGAGGAATGTCCTCGGTACCAAGAACCTCAGCGAGATCCTGTCTGACAGGGAGAACATTAGCCACCGTATGCAGGTATTTGCTTGTGCTTATTGCCTGGAGGTTTGGGTGTTGAAGCAGTAGCAGGACGTGCATGTAACAGTTGTTATCGTTGTTTACACTTTCCATTGCCAAAGGAAATGGGTTATTTTACTATTAAATGCTACTGATGGTTATTATTTACAAATACGTCCCTCGACTTACCTCTCCAACACAGCAACAACAACAACAAAAAAAAAAAAAAAAAAAAAAAAAAAAAAAAAAAAAAACGCTTCCTGCATGCTTACACCACTTATGCAGAAACTGTAACCTGTGAAAGCTACCAGTTACTAGCACAGTAGAACGATGCAAACTGCGCACGCATACTCTTCCCCATGAAGTGACGAGGAACATGTCAAGTGTTATCGTTACATACTAACGCTTACACATACGAACTGATCACGCCTCGCCACTGGATTGGAGTGTATTTGTTTCAGTCCGAAACCGTCTCTATAATGATTTTGGCCTCTGCATGAATATTGGGACGACAGAAGTAATGGCGATAGCAAGGAAACGGATCTTTTAAATATGCAGGTCAACGGAATTCATTTTAAACAGCTCCCCCCCCCCCCCCCCTCCCAAAAAAAAAAAAAAAACTTCTGTTCTCAGTATGAAAATCCACAATAGTGACTGTTAGATTTTTTGGTCCGTGAGAAAAAATGGAGATGAACATCAAGAAAAGTTCCAAATGAGAGAGAGAGAGAGAGAGAGAGAGAGAGAGAGAGAGAGAGAGAGAGAGAGAGAGAGAGAGAGAGAGAGAGAGAGAAAGAGAGAGAGAGAGTTTAGGTCTTAGGTTATATAGAATTAATTCAAACGTCAAGCATAGATTTCGTATGACTTGTCACTTTAGATCCACATATTAGCACAAGGTCCCTATGCTCACGGGGCCCCCAAGAAAATGCCCAGCATGCCCATGCGTTAAGACGGCCCTGCCCTATGGTCCGCTTCTAAAAATAAGTAGCGGAAATATTCAGAATCTTCTTGGATGGAACAACCGCAGAGAAACGAGCTGGGTGCAAAACCTTCATATGGCATTCTATAATAGATGTGTAGGACGAACACATTCCATATCTATGGCATTCTGTACTTTTACTTAGTTATACCAGAGCTGTATGTTTTATTCAATTCCTTTTGTAGTCAATGTAGAAATGTAACACCCCTTTTTCTGATACATTTACATTTTTTTCTGTGTTGACCTTAGACATCACTGGACGAAGCTACTGATCCTTGGGGAGTGCAGGTTGAACGTGTTGAAGTGTAAGTCTTACAGTACTTTCCGGAATATTAAACTTGTAAACTTGTGGCGAAGTCTTTTCTAAACACTGTTCATGTAGTGCAGAACTTTTCGAAACGCTGGACATGTATTTTAATACCTTCCTAAATTTTAACGCGAAGTAGAGTGATTTCCAAAACACTAAAAGAGACACAAAACAATCATGTCAGATGGTTCAGTGCAAGGAACCACAGATAGTTCTACCAAAAGAAGAGAGAAGAAGATTAAACATACATAGGACTCTGCGTTTAAGCCTTCAACTCTAGATCTGAATACCGTGTAACAGACTGCGTTTTTTGGTTCATAGATCAAAAGTCAATAGTCAAGAGGAAAATTATGTTGAAGCTTTCCCCGGTATCGTTGCTGGTGTAGCACAGCGGTATTCTTTGTGTACGTTAATGTGACAACCAGGTTCGTCTTTGGTTTGCTACAGGAGGAGTCAGTTGGACGATTATAGACGAGGAGAAAGATGGTCGTGTGGATAATGGTGATGATGATGGTCTCTCATGCTTCTCACGTCACCTATGCTTGTATAATAAAATGTCTTAAAACAGCTCTTCTTTTCTCTACTGTCTTTATTGTCATCTCTAAATGCGATCGGTAACATCAGTGGTATTCTGAATGACAAATGATTACGCTTTATTGTTATAAAATCTTATTTTGCGTTGTGTTTTTCATCTCTGGTTAATTTGTTAACTGGTTCTGGTAACTGGCACCTGGCTTCTGGTGATGTCTGGTACTAACGATCTGATCGACTCTAACATCTTAGCAATTTTTCTGTTTAATGTGTGTCCGTTGAACATGGATCCATCTATCTTGACTATTGTCTTTTGTAGCTCGTTGTTTCGTTTCATGTGTGCTCCCCAGTGACTGTTCTTGAGGCTCCATGTGACTGGCTCTAGTGTTGAGTTGGCAGCTCTACCTCTGAATGTTCTCGCCTGTGAGGGTCCATATGACCAGTCCCTCCTCTTCCAAATCTGGTAGACTGAAGGTTCTCACCTGTGAAGGTCCATATAACCAGTCCCTCCTCTTCCAAGTCTGGCAGACTGAAGGTTCTCACCTGTGAGGGTCCATATGACCAGTCCCTCCTCTTCCAAGTCTGGCAGACTGAAGGTTCTCACCTGTGAGGGTCCATATAACCAGTCCCTCCTCTTCCAAGTCTGGCAGACTGAAGGTTCTCACCTGTGAGGGTCCATATAACCAGTCCCTCCTTTTCCAAGTCTGGCAGACTGAAGGTTCTCACCTGTGAGGGTCAATATGACCAGTCCCTCCTTTTCCAAGTCTGGCAGACTGAAGGTTCTCACCTGTGAGGGTCCATATAACCAGTCCCTCCTCTTCCAAGTCTGGCAGACTGAAGGTTCTCACCTGTGAGGGTCCATATAACCAGTCCCTCCTCTTCCAAGTCTGGCAGACTGAAGGTTCTCACCTGTGAAGGTCCATATAACTAATAACTCCTCTTCCAAATCTTGTTGACTGAAGATCTGTGACTGAAGGTCACTTGGTTTCTTATCCACAATTTGCTCTGAGACGCGGATATGTGTCAAAGGAGTTGTATACTCTTCTAAAAATGTCTGGTCTGCTCAAATGTTTTGACTCTCAAGGTTCTCTATGTGGGATTTCATAACTGCGTCTCGATTGCATCAGATAACTCTACACCTAAATACACTAATTAAATGGAAGACTGGCCTTCTGGGGTCTTCCACAAACGAGTACGAGAAGGCTCTCTCTCTCTCTCTCTCTCTCTCTCTCTCTCTCTCTCTCTCTCTCTCCCTCTCTCTCTCCCCCCCCCCTCTCTCTCTCTCTCTCTCTCTCTCTCTCTCTCTCTCTGATAAGGCACGTTTAACAACATTACAGCAGATACTTTTTATATAACTAGTCTATTCATTTGAAAAACATCTGCTAATAAACAAATGATGGTTCTAGAACACCGTTACACTGAGGCTACAGAGTCCACGCTTTGTGTAACACTTTCCGCCTGAAGCTAGACGCTCTGTGCAAATAAATCATGGATAAAACCGGGTGCCATCAAATCGACAACCAACAATCTCGACTTTTTTGTTTCTTTCTTTACTCTTTGTAAGTGTTCCTGTTTTGTTGATATGTGTATAGAGTGGTGTCTAGCACTAAATATCCATTAATGTTTTCTTAAAATATCGTTCTTGTGGGGCTGATTTTGTTTTCTCTCTGACCGCAAACCACGGCGAACTAATTATAAGGGGCTCTTCGGTTTGTTTTGGTAGCAGGGTCTGTGAGACCCATTCAGTGCTTTGTTCTGGGGTTACAGTGATTTCGCTGCAGAGATCGTCGTCTCTTCAAGCTTGGAAAACAACGATGTGCACACAATAGGTATTGAAACATCACATCTGTGGAGTGGCGAATCATGATGCACCAGAAAATACCTCTAATTTGTCGACTGACTACATGCTTGGTAGGGGGTATGGGTCTACCCCCCCCCCCCACCTCCACAGTGGTGCCGCTTAACCCACACAGGAAGCGCGTTATTGTATCTGTGGCTAGTGTGGCGTTGTGAATTCGAACAGTTTATAACTCCGAAATACTCGGTTCAATTGAGCTTTGCGTTGATTTCGACAATGGTACGGATCGCCAACGTTCAGTAAGCAATGACAAACTACTGAAAATGCCCTGCCGCATAAAACCACAAACAGTCAACAAATTATGGGGCTGGTTTGCGGCGTCCAGAAAAAGGTCGTACAACTAAACATGTACATGTTGGGTTTGCTAGGAAAGATGTCCGCCTGCCTGTCCTGATGCAGAGAGCTATGGCTGCAGAAGCTGAAGCTGCCAGGGAAGCACGCGCTAAGGTACCGTAGTGCTTTCGTTTATAGTATCTTTTTTTTTTTCATCATCATGATTACTATCATGAGCTACAGATGTGCTCTCTAGGTGCGGAGATACCCAGGTTCGGCCGGTTGGAATTCCAATAGAAACGAAGCTGTGTGGAACAGTGGAAGACCTGCCTTCATAAGGACCAAGACCGTCTACATCTGACGGGCCACGCTGCTGACGTCACCAAACCGGGCTAACGATACCTAAAGCTCTCCCTAAATAAACACTTTTTGTCGTAGACGATCTTAACTAGTGCTCCTATTTGGGGTAGGGCTATACTACTAGCATTATGGATAATCATGCAATAACTTATTTTCAGGATAGCTCTTATTTCAGGGAAACACGGAAGTTCGATTTCCGCGGTTGACGGTTTATGTTTGAAAAATAAATGCCGTTAAGGAAGCCAAGAAGAGTTCTGGAGGCAGGTGTATTCAGAAGACAATACTACCCTCAAGGCTGCAGTGCATTCTCAACGTACGCTTTTGAGATACAGGAGCAAATTTTCTGGGTCAACTGATCTGAGGGTAAAATTAACTAAACTTTCCATAACAATAAAGGAAACAATGAAACATTTATCCAAACAGTTTCATTCATTGCATTGACAATTAAACATTAAATGTGCCCTGGTTTTTTGTTTTTTTTTTGTTTTTCTTCTTTTTTTGCCCGACCAGGATGCCGCGCGGAACACAGTTTGAGAACCGTTGGTTTAGCCAGCCTTCAGTGGCAGAGGGAACACAGTTTATTTTGGAATAATATCCCAAAATTTGCTCTCTGACGGGGCCACAAATGAGGATTATATTGTGTTATCGTGAATATCATGTTCTAAATATACAGTTCTTTGGAAACACAGAAGAATTTTCCAGAATCAAAAACCCCGCTCAAACTGGACTACAGGTTACGTAGCAACCGTTATTTGATGCCCCATAAGAACGGTGCGATAGGGCTATCCAGTTTAACGGGGTTTCCCGGATTTCTACGTTTGATTCTCATCCTTGAGATGTATATCTTACACACTACAAATCGCATCATAATCATCATGTGTCCTGCCAGTTGGCGTAGGCGCTCATGCATCTAAACAGATCATGATACCTGGTTGCCTGGAACAGCTCTCTTGATGATATCCCTCCATGCCATCGTTTCAGCCCATCCTGCTTCTTTTATCTTGGTCTGCCTCTACCTCTCTTTCCACTTATCTTTTCAGTTGTCATGAAGTTTTCCAATGCCTATTTTTTAATTTCGTGGCAAAAGAACAGTGTTTGTCTCTTTCGTATTGTTGTATATAGAGATCTACTTTAATTAGCTTCTTTCTAACAATCGTTGTTAGCTACTCTGGCCGACCAAGGTATTCATAACACTCGCCTCAGAAACCACATCTCTGTTGCTTCCAAATTCTCCGCAAATCTGGAGGGGGGAGTAATTTTTTTTTAATTGACCCCATCTTGGAAGCTCCAATATTTCCTAGGGATCTCCTAGGGAGTTCCAGGGACATCCCAATATTCTAGGGGTGTTATCGCATGCCTTCGTTTGGTGTTCATGCAATGTACGAAAAAAGTGTGTACACCAGGTCGACAAACTATATTCTACACAAAAGTGCGCAACTTTCTTTTGTGTGAGCGACAGTGCAGCTAATTAACTTTCTTTCTGTGTGAATGTCTTGGTTGTTTTCAGCATTTTAATCGTTTTTGCGTCACAATTCTCAGTGTGTATTACTTTCATTCGATCGTGTGAAATGAACACCAACACTAACCCTAACATCCCTGTACTATGGGCCTTTCCCGGAAAATTCCCCACGAAGTCTCGGAGGCCCCGATTTGGGGTAACTAAAACAAAATAACCGGGAAAACCCATAAACGGAATGTATGCAGCTGCTGTGTTGTCTGGTTGCAGGTGATTGCCGCTGAAGGAGAGCATAAAGCTTCAAGGGCACTGAAAGAAGCTGCAGACATCATCACCCAGTCGCCAGCTGCCCTTCAGCTTCGATACTTGCAGACCCTGATCACCATCTCGGCTGAGAAAAACTCCACCATCATCTTTCCCTTGCCTATCGACCTGTTGACCGGCTTTTCGAAGTAGGCAAATCATTTAAACAAACGTTAGTCTTCCCAAACAAAGTAGGTCACGTTCCATTGATAGGTTTTTTGGACTGGTCTACCTTGGTGGAGGTTATGGGTGTGCCGCTCTGTTGTTTGCTTTTTGGATTGTCTTGCATTTACGTGTTTATTCCGAGAAAGAGAATGTCTGTGAAGGTATTATCACTCTCTACCGTGGTTTTGTGTTAGACCCAGTTTGACGATGTTTTTAGAGTGTTAAAAGCGCTGACATGCTGAAATATACAGCACGCGATATCAACAGCATTGCGGAACACCGCGTAACCTTGTGCCAATGACACTTGGCTCAAGATTGACCAGTTAGAAGTTAGCTAGGCTGAAGGTCGACCAATCAGAAGTGAGCTAGTGTGTAACATTGTGTAAATAGCGAGAGCAACGTTACTATTACAGGCAAATCATAAGAGGGTAGGGTTTATTTGTTCACGGAAACACCGAACGGACAGACAGACATTTCTTGCAACAGGAACATGGTTCCAGGACCGTGCGGTAGATTTTCTCAGTACGATGCAAGTCTTCAAAATGCCGCCTCTTAAAAATTCAAAGTGTATTTTGAGTTCGCTTTTACGGTGTCGCCTGGTGCGGCAGATTCTCTGTATCATAGCACAGTAAGCTGAGTATACTTTACATGACTTTGCAAATCAATTGCAGCATTTGTTGGCTGTTTCGGATTTTACAGGGTTATTTTACTTTCGGTAGTTTTTCGGTTGGCTACCAATATCATTGTCGAAATTGACTCAAAGCAGTCTGCTGCAAATCGTGTGTAGTTATATCAAACCGGGTATTTCAGAATTACGAACCACGTTTTTAAATCCTGAGCTACAGGCGCCGTTTAAATAGTATATATTTGTAGCTAACACCATCATCATCATCATCGTCATCTGTTGGTCTCCGTAGCGAAATGGCGAGGCCGCCTGGGCTGCACTCAGTGAGACGTAGGCTCCGTTCATGCTGAGTCATTTTCACAAGTGCAGTTTTTACTGAGATCCCTGGGGTACCTCGTCGAAGCTACGGAATTTGTGTTTTGTGCCATGTTCTCGACAGGCGGCTAGTCGTTCTGCAGAAAGCGACCGAACCGCATGGGATACAACGGGGTGCAAGGAAGTAGAACCTCTCGACCTTTAACCTTTATCATCTTTATTGTCATCTCATTACATCCCAGACTAGTGACCGTTGACTGCCTGATCAATTCCCTCCACCCCAGATGCCGTGAAATTATTGTTTTTATTTTTGAAGTCTGTCCAGTCAACTACATTCTGTATTCAGATCTTCTTTGTCGACTTCTTCTCCTGCTTCACAGAAGGCAGTGCTTCACTCTACCGAACCCATACTAAGGTGCGCGAGGACAGGCATGCTTCGGGCAGAGCACGGCCTTCTCTATTTATAGGCCAAACAGTTCAACTGGGATTCCCGTTCTTGTGCAAGAATGTAGTCCCTCTGCGTCCACAGTTTTGATTGAGGAGATGTATACACAAATTATACAGAAGGATCTGGTGCAGAGTGACATGCTTCGTTTTGGAGTTCACGGGTGAGGAGGATGCAGGCGTGCTGGGAAATGAACAAGCGCACAGACTGGCTGGCTCTTCACAACTTGGGCGAATACTGATGCATGATAACGCACGTTGTTATGGCCTCGTGGAAGAACGTGTACAATCGGAGGAGCAAATGTCACCTAGTCTGGTGAGGCTGATGCAGCGGGAAGTGATGGGAGGCCTGGCCGAGACTCGAAACACGCATAATTATAATGCTACCGGCACCATTGGTATTGGTGCTGAAGATGGGGACGGAGCGCTTCTGAGAATGCTCCGAGTGCTGTTGTGTCTGTTCTTGAATCCATTCAACTCTACCGAACCCTATAAATCATTTCGAACCCAAGTAATCTTATCATATGGCCATACTGATGAGGACAATCATAGATTCGCACATTCCACTACCAGATGTGTTTGTTATTTTCATTAAGAATATAACTAGCGCCGCTATGTGGATAATAAATTTGTTTCTTGTCTGCTCCGAATATTGTGCAAACTTACAGACCTGGTGGTACATCGTATAAATTGCCGTAAGTATGTATAGTTGTTTCTAAATATTCTAGATAACAGTGTATAGTATGCCTAATACTGTATGTAAACGAGGTAACAGAATATGTTTTACGTAGAGCTGAGTTTAGATGATTAAAAAACCGACACCGCAGCACTCGGGGCATTTCCAAAATCGCTCTGTCCTCATCTTCAGCAGCCAACGCAGAGTTCCAAAACTAATGGTGCCAGTCGTCTGATTATATGTTCGTCCTGTCTTTCCACTAAGCGTCGAGCATCACTCCTCCTCAATAGATGTTACACAATAGTATTTTCTATATACGTGTATTTCTGTATATATTCTGTCTGATAATTTATGTATTTTAAATAACAGTATATAAATACTATGATAGCTATCGTAGTGTAGCGAACAGACGCTGGCCTAGGGTTCAGAAGGTCGTGGGGTTAAATCCGCATGGTGACGGATTTGTTTCAAACAATACATTGGTTCCCAGGTAAACCCCGCCTTAAATGGGTACCATGTGAAGACATGGGAAGTAAAGGTGGCCGGCGTGATGTTGACCACATCACCCTTTGAGAATCTGTAAAAATATCACCCGATCTCTCCATCAATAACTTAACAACAGTTTTAAAAAAGACTCATGGCGCCTGCTCTGTGTTAATTAATAATCAAATGTCTTGTGGCCTTGACAAAATGTTCATTTCTTGTTGCACCCCCTTGTCTATCAATCAGCCTGGGTAGAAGTGCGGTGTTACGACTTTTTCTGTATTGGAATGCTAAAAAAAAAAAAAAAACTGTCACTGCTGTCTGTTTTAACATTTTTGTAAGGGTGGTGTAGACAGGGAGGCCTTGAACCTGAGGATTTAGGGCCGCGTGGCTAGTGCTGTCGCTCGGAATGTGCAGGATGGGATGTGCAATTTATCCCCGACTGAAAAACTCCATCACCTTATCAGGGGTCGAACCCGGTTTTCCCATATGAGAGCCCGACATCGCTACTGCTCGGCCTGTGGCTCCTCTCGCAATAGTTAATAACATAAAATGTTTGATAAAACAACGAATGTATTCTATATAGCAATATATATATATATATATATATATATATATATATATATATATATATATATATATATATATATACTATACAAGAGAGAGCTTAATTTATACTGTGCCATTTATATATTCTATGTCATCGTCATCATCAACATTAGGCAGCAGATCCTTTGCAGAACGTTGCTCTCATCACGGTCTGCCTGAAAGAAACTCGATCTCTCGCCAGCTCCTCCACCTCGTACACTCTCATATCCAACTAGTCACTTATATTCTGTGCCCATCTTCGTGTTGGTTGGCCATTGCTCCTCCTACATCATACCGTGCCTTCTGCTATTACTTTCCAATCCGCCGTGGCGCTTGAAATGGCCAAAATATTTCAGCTTCCAAGACAAGATGTTGTTTATTAACCAATCTTCCTTAATGTTCAGATCTTTTAAAATTCAGAATTGTTGTCTTCTTTGACCGTGGTATTCTGAGAATCTGATTATGGCAATTCAGCTCAAAAGCCCCTTTCTTACTTAAGGACTAGAATATAGTCCACGACTCACATCCGTTTGTTACTACAGTGAAGATGCATTATTTATAACAGTGTATATATGATAAAAAGCAGCATATAGCCTTCTATGCTATATAACAGTACATATTATAATAACAAAATACGTAATCTTTATAACAGTGAATATATCGTAAGTGTACACATTCTATCCATTTTACGTAGCAGTGTAGTTTCTTTAAATTATTGGTTTCCTTTTTGTTCCCATAGTGCCAAGTTAGCCAAACTTGCTCACATAGGACTGCAGGTCACGTGTTGTAGCAGCAGCCTGCCCCAGTATAGCCGTTTTTTACGGTTGAACTTTGGATCTGGGAGTAGGAGTGGGAGGGTGTGACGGCCGCTCCTGTTAGCTGGGCATCCAAAGAATTGATTTTTGAATTACTCCCTGCCCAAACTTTTAGGAAAACAGAGATAAATATCAGGATGGCTTGACAACAACCTGCTATAATATAGACAAGCACATAAACCTGATACAGGACTCAAGTGACGCCCAGACTACCAGATTTTTCGGTATGGTACGTCATAGTGATTGCGCACGGGTTAATGCAGGACTGACCCCCCCCCCCCCCCCCCCCACCACCCCCCCCTTTCCCCCCATCCAATCCAACCTTTTCGAAATCAAATCCATGTTTTGCATATCAAATTTACACTTTCAAAGACCAAATTCAGTCTTTTGCAGTTTAAATTCACACTTTTGCAGATCAAGTTTTTTTCCTACAAAAATGTTCTTAAGCTGTTTCAATTCAAATTATATTCTATTAAAGTTAACGATAAAACTGACAACGTTATTGCATTAATGTAATAATAAAGATAAGATAAATATAATAAACGTATAATGCTTGTACTGAAGAAGTAAAAGTAAACTGACTTTGGCAACAGGTCCACCCAACTTTGAATGGGTACCAAGTAAAAGCCATGGGAAGTTAACTCGGCCTTAGTGATGTTTACCACTTCAACCACTAAGTGCCGATTGGTCTATCAATTATAGCTCTAGCCCTATGTGCCCAATAAGTCTGAAGGCGTGGATAGGGATCCTTTACTTTTTCATCTCACTGAGAAGTGCATTCGATGGTACGTTAACGAGACCTGTCGTTATGATACGATTGATGTCTTCAGCCAGTGGTTCTTAACCTTTCTATTGCCGCGACCTTTTAATACAGTTCCCTATGTTGTGGCCACCCAAAACCATATAGTTATTTTCGTTGCTACTTCATAACTTCAGTGAATATGTGTTTTCCAATGGTAACCCCTGTGAAATGGTCGTTCGACCCCTAAAGGTGTCGCCACCCACAGGTTGAGAACCCCTGTCTTAGGCCATCCTTTTATTT